TTTTCGTGTGAAAATTCTCGATTTTATTATTTATATTATATTTAACTTTATAATGCTATAACTTATTGAAAAGTTTATGGATCTACACAATTTTTTTATGACAAATAATATTTTTTAATAAACCCTGTTTCATTTACCATACTTTATCTTTATCGAGATATTAATAAGGAACCAGCAGATCAAGTAGCTTTTGGAATAAAACACCAATTTTTTTAAAATTAAACACTATCTAAAGATTTGCATCGAAGCGTTTATTTTTGATAGTGATTTTAATCACTGTCAGATATCATTTACTTGATCCAACTATGCCACGTCACCACTGTGCCGCGACCCCCCTGTGCTGGGTTTTTTTTTCAATATATTACATATATAAGTTTTAAAAAAGTAATTTATATCATATTGGAAATTAAAATTAGTTGGTGATTTTGCAACATTTAATTCTAGAGAAATTTTATGTTAAGTTTTAATTGTACAAAAAAAGGAGTATAATTAATTTTTTTTTAATTAGGCATAGATAAAATTTGCTGTCACAAATACGTTTCCAAAGCATTATTTCAATAGGTACTATATAAAATTGTTTTTTTTTATTTCAACTAATTAAAGACCATAGTGGCCTCCTCCAAAGAATAAGGTTTATTAACCATTATTAACCATTGATACTCCATACGGTTGGTTAGTCCATCGCCAAAGAGACAGATGGCGACTCTAATTTTGCTCGCCAAATGAAGTCGCCCGTGACTGTGACAATGCACATCAAGTGCCGTGTTACCTATTCAACCACACTATACCTCTTATTTTAAAATAATAAATATAAAACAGATTTGTTAATAAATTTAAATAAAAATGTTTTGTTTCATAATACTGTTAAACAAAGTATTTACCCAAAAAGTAAAATTAAGTTTGAGATTTATTTTCTACAAATACATTTACAACTAAAATAATTCAATATTAGATTTATCAATTATTTCATTTTAACTAATAAAAAATGTTTTGCTTAAAGGTGGAGTACTCAATTGACGGTGTCAGCAAGTACGACTTCTTAGAAATGGGTAAAACTATTAGCTCTAGTATTCGAGTATATGGTCGTTTGCAATTTTCATGCAATGATTTTGGAATGAATGATCCTGTATGCTTAACTACGCCTCGTTCATTTCTTGTAAGTATTAAAAAGTTAAGCATTTTACATTTATTGAGGAACGATAAAATACTTTTTGAAACTACTTTAAAATTAATAAAGGGTCTATAGCTCATATATCTTTTACATTAACTATAAAAATAAGATAAATAAATGGTTTATAGTTAAGATGATCTAATGAATAAAAAGAATAATGTATTTTACGATAATATCAGGAATATTTTTCATCGTAGTTATCCACTTGGGATTTTTTATTCCGTTTTTTGTGTTGTTTATAAGTTATAAGCTAATTTAAAACTGCACGCTTTTTTCTTACTTACAACTTTTCAAATTTCATATATTTGAGAGCATAGTAAAAACTCATTGTCTTTGTTTCTTTAAAATAATTTAATGTGGTAATTTTTAAATATCCTTATAGGATAAAAATATTACTGAGCTTTCGAAATAATCTTTTGATTAAAATCAGAGTTTTATTTAAAGCTATTTGTTCAAATGTAGTGAATAAAAGTCAATTATATCGACTTTTATGTGAATGACTGAAAATAGCTTTTATAAATATTGAAAGTTAGACGACAATATTCAAAAAGGTATAGTGAATAAAAAAAAACGACAAAAAATTATGTGAACACTATATTAAAAGTTTAACGCAGCAAGAAAGAATCGTTTGGGCAATATTTTAACATATATTTGGAAAACTCTTTTTTAATTGACATCAACAACATTGTTACATTTAAAATAACTGTCTTACTTTGATTTCATGACGATTTGATTTAAAAATTAATTCATGGAATAAAATTTGTTTTTGAATTACACAACGAGTTGAACGTTCTCTATCTTTTAGACTCATTGTTTTTCGTGTAAGTTTTTTCTAAACTTGGCTCAACTGATCTAAATACAAAACATGAAATTACAAAAACGGCTAGATCTAGTTTTTTATTTTTAATTAGTACCAAGAAAATGTTTATTTCGTTGTAATTTACGTTTAAATAGTTTTATTGATAATGGCGTGACCAAAACATTTTACGTTGTCTTAACTTCTATTTTATAACTTTGGTATTAGTGATTAACGTTTAAGTTTAATTGGGGGTAGAAACTTATGATGTCAGTATAAATTCAATTAAAATAACTTGAATAATCTGGTTAAGTCTTCCTTATGTACATTATTCAATGGAACAGAGGTTACATACATTTCATTTTTGATGATGCGAAGTCACAAAATAATATTTTTTAACTACTCATAATATACCTAGTATGCCAAACGCCATCTTGAATGATGTTAGAAATGTGAACTTCTCATCAAATCTACTATGAGAGGACAAATATTTATTTATTTCAAATGATAAAACTTTGCATAAAACTGAAAATGATTAACTAACATTAAACGTTATGTAGTAATCTATGTAATGATTTTAAGATATCATATTTAAAATTAGTTGCGTCATGTCCAAATAACATTACATTATAAAATATGTTGACAATTATAAAAAATATATTATATTATATTTTATTTAAAAATTAATATAAATATCATTAAGATTTCTTTTTATTTGAACTTTTCAATTGCATGACAATGAATGGAATGTATTGGTTAACATCTGTGCATTTATACCTGCCGGAAAATATTTTTGTGATCTTACAAAGATGAACCACAGACATTCCTCGGGAAATATCTATTTATAATTGATACTTTTGACAGAAAAGTCTCTATACATTTTTTCACAAATGTTTATTATAAGATTATTTCCAAGTTAATGTCTTCATGAGAGCAATTATTTAATTGTAAATTTATATTTGTTATTCTAGTAGGCTTAATATTTAAATATTAAATTACATTAAATAATGTATAAATATTAAACTAAATAACATCTACAAAAAGTTATAACTATTTAACAATTTTGTAAATTGACATCACATAGTTGTATAAAATTTTTAAGTTTTTTAACTTGAAAGTGTACTCAATTGCACATAGATGTTTAAGTATAGTTATTTCTAAATAACTTTAATTTATTTATTTATAGCAAAGAAGCTTCTTTGCAATTATTAAATGATTAACACAACTAGTGATGTTAATTATTATGTACACAAAGTTAGCTTTTTTTAAAATTATTGAATAGATACCATTAATGTAAAAACTTATTAAATTTCTGACTACGCATAAAAATTATTACTTAAGATTTATCAAGAATATCAGTTGTTAGAAAAATTATCACATTTAATTTTAAATATTAAAATGTTTAGAGTTTGTGTTAAGGGCGTATTACTACACACCCTCGCAACAATTTTTATTTTACCTGGGGTAAAAAAAAATGTTTACTTTAACATAAACTGTGGTTATGCAATATAATTTAAAAATAAAGATAAAATATGGCACGTTTAGTATGTAATTTATCACCTCAAAAACGTGTTTTACTGATATTGAAAAATAAATGAACAAGTGATGTCGCTATAGAATGTTGAGAAATTGGCTTAAGAAAGAATCCCAAATATATAGTTGTCAATGGAAAGAAAGAATAATGTTTCATAATTATATCGATTTTAAATTTCAATGGAAATTTATATGAATATCTATTAAATGAGGAAAAAGTTTTTAATAGAGACGTCTATTGACATTTGATTTTAAAATTATAATTTTTATGCTTGATATTTATTGATTATTTTTATTATAAATAAAGCATTAATTAAAAAGATATGAATGTATTTTTAATAAGGTTATATTTTACATGATGCATTAATAACAGTATTTATTATTATCTTTAACAACTGAAAAAAATTAATCTACTAGTGTAGTATAGTAAGTAGATTAGAAAACTATTTTATCAATATACATTGATAAATGTGAGTTATGCGAAAAAATGACGTTCTATAACATAACCTAAATAAATAATTATTTACATATTTTATGATCTGAACATATCTGTAAAATGGATTCTCTAAATTAGTGCTGTATATATTTCATTAAAATAACATTTATACCACGACATCTGGTTGCCATGATATTATTATTATTATTATTTTTTAACCGTTTAGTTGTTAAACGTTAGACAATTATTTTTGTACTGTTGTATTCTGGAGGACACTTAGATACAGTAATTTACCACTTGCCTTTTGTTTAGGAGACATAGTGTTTTCTGCCGTTTTAATTGACGTATTGTAACCCACCCACTACTAAAAACGGTATGCAAGTCGCTACTTCAGAGCTTAACAGCATTAGAAGTGTTCATTGTGATACACTACACCACGATAATCTATTTTTTGGTATTTTTACTATTTAAAGTTATTGTATAAAACTATTTATTTATCAGGTTATTTGATTTTATCAGTTATTGTATTATAATTTAAACTCATAGAAAACTTTAATAGGCACATATTTCATCTATATCACACTTTCTTAGATAATTTATTTAGTTATATTATTATTTTAGATCGAGGTATAATACTGAATAGAATAAAAAAAACGAATAATTTTGGATTCAGTGTTCTATTTCCGTTTATTTTATGTTTTAAAGCATAAATTGTATGCGTTTTTGGATACTAATATAACCTAGAAAAGCTAGTTTTAACAATCAATTAGCCGACCTCAAATTGTTGAGATAAAAGAGAGGGAGAAGAAGGTTTAAAAGATCATATGCTTAAAAATTCTTTTTGAAAAGTTATTATTGTCATTGTTAATAATGTGCAAATATTGAGATGGAAATGACAATTTTATTGATAGTCTCAAAGTGCCATATCCTAGAGATATTTCTGTAAATTGACTGAGGTTATTAGATTTATACTTATATTTTGGCTATTTTTTCTATCGACAATATTTTTTCTAGAAATTTTAGATATGACATTGATTGTCCTTAAAAATTGTGTACTGAATGATTTTAAACTACAGAGTAATTAAAATGTTTAATTCATATGATTTTAAAAAGTATATTTTCATCTTCTAAAATGAAATCACCTTATCCGAAATGTTTACAAAACGATTACATTTCTTGTATATATTTATTAACATAAAGTTTCTATCATTTTCTCTAGATGCTTCCCAATTGGGACGGCTCCACCAGTGGTTCAATATCTGTAAAGTTTCGTACCAACGAACCCGATGGTCTTCTATTCTTCAGTAGAGGTCAAACAGAGCATACCGTATGTAAAACATAGATAATATTGTTTGTTTAATTTAAAATTTCTATAAACGTATATAAAAACAAAATAATTTTACAAGTAAAATAATTTTTACTTAATGCCATACTAGTATTATGCACAGTATAAATTAATTTCATCGGTAATATTAATATGCATAATATAAATAGTAAAGTGCATGTTTCTGTATTTACAGTCTGGAGCATATGCTGTAGAAATGGTCGATGGAAGGCTGTACGTTTATTTAGATTTAGGAACTGGTGGCTCTAGGTTTGAAGTGAGTTCAGAAAACGTTAAAATCAATGACGGAGAGTGGCATGAATTTTCTATATGGCGTAATGACAGAGACATACATTGTACCGTTGATGATTACTCTTCAGATTTTGTAACTGCTGGTAATTTACAATTAAAAATTTACAAATAATTTTAAGAATTTTCATAAAATAAATATAGTTACTATAAACTTACTTTCGATATAAATTAAATTATTATAAAATACTATTCTATCTATTGATAAAAGTATAAACATTTTTATATTTACTTGACAATTGTGTTATGTATAGGTGAATCTACTCAGCTACATTTACAGAATGGTATCATGCTAGGGTTTGGTGGGCGTGCTATATATCATAAAAAAATACCACCAGGTGTTTGGACGCTCACAATGGAAAAAGGATTTGTTGGTTGCGTTCGCGATCTCATATTAGATGGAGTGACCATAAATTTGGTTTCTTTGTCGTTAGAACAAGATCGGGGTAAGTGCCAAACATTTTAAATGAAGTTCTTATACAGAGTGATCCGTTTATCAAAACGCAATGTCAAATTGAAAATAAATTCACAAAGTCTTTTCATTTTTTTATGTGCATACATATCTTGATTTATCAATTATTAAGTACTTTTAAGGTTCATTCTTCATAAGACTTTCTACTTGGTTTTTTTCAATAGTGAAAAATATATTTAACTATCTTATAAAATAGAAAATGATCGAATTAAGAAAATTACTAGTCGATAAAAAATTTTAAACCATTACTTCAGAAGTTATTTGCAATTTAAAATATAGACTGAAAGCACGAGTACTTTTTTATAATTTGATATTTCTCATCCACTCCCTTCCACTAAATTAGTTATAAAAATGTTAATACTCATGTAATACTGATCCAAAAGTTGTTATTGACTAATTATTTTATTAAATATTTTAGGGCTAGATAAGTATGAATGTCGTCATTAAAAAATAAATAAATAAAGTTTATAGCCTTATAAGGGATGAATCGAAAAAGTATTAAATAGTTGATAAATTAATAATTATATGTAACTTAAATAAGCTGAATAATATTCCTAGACTTAATTTTATTTTGTAAATAATGAAGTAAATCATGATAAATAAATTACTTTGTATTTCTTAATATTGCAAAAACTTACTCTCAAAAAATCCAAGTAAAATATTATTTTAAAATATTACATTTTGACGCTTTAAAAACAATTTTAAAATTCATACATCTACACAAAGCAAAAATATAAAAGATAAATCATTAAAAAAATAAATAACTGTAAAATATGAATCATATTTTTTGAGTTTTTAGTAGTTTGGAGGTGAAATATTAATTTTTAATTTTTGGCTTTATTCTGAGATTTAAAACTTTATAAAAAAAAATTCTTATTTTTTACTTTATATGCTTTAAAAAATTTTTTCGTAAAGTTTCAGTAATACCACACTGTCCAGAACCTTCAGAAAATGGTGGTTGCCGACCAGATACTTGCTATAATGGAGGAATGTGTCGTGAAGGATGGAATCGATATATTTGTGATTGTTCGTCGACTGAATTCACTGGAGCGTCTTGCACGCGGGGTATGTTATCTGTTAATTAATTGAAGAAAATATTCAAATTATAACGCAATCATCATGTACTAAAAACGAGAATTAGTATAATATGCCCAATTTGAAATAATGAAATTTTTAATAATTATAACATTTATTTCAATGACAACTTTAAAATAGATTTCCAATAAAATTACAAGTGTTGCATCACCTCTAAAGCTTAAAGCATTTTATTTTATTTCTACATAAAATAAATTTATATTCAATTATTATATTAAATAAGATACAATCATGGCGTTACTTGGAAGTTTTACTAAAATTACTACTCAAATGAATGACCACAAAAACTACATTTGATTCCAATCATGTTGTTTTTCAATAGTTCTCACTTGTTATCCCATATATACAAGAGTGTCAAATTATTATATGAAAGCCTTTGTGAAAATCAAAGTTTCGAAATTTCTTGATTGTAAAATATATAAAATCAGGGATTGAAACAGTTGAGATTATTAAGATCTGATTTTAATTAGGTTCATAAAATCAAAAAAATTAAGAAGATTATGGTTCTATTAGGGGATTTCAAACTTTTTTTTTTAAGAAATCCAGTTAAGAACTGGTTGTAAAATAATTCTAGCAAAAAAAAAAATTTATATTTTGAAATTATTTTTTTAGAGTACGTATCATAAGTGTTAATTAAAGTATTTTTCTATAGATTATTAAGTTGAACACTAAAGGGGTAGTCGTATCAATGACTCACCTACAAAAAAATATCCTAAAAACAAATGAACTTTAAAATTTTATTATTACATTTATATAATAAAATTTAACCAATAAAATCAGTTATAAAACATTTCATTAGAGTATTTACCAATATAAACTACTCAAATAACTATTTAGTTATTTATGTTAAGATCGCGAAATTATATGTATTTATAAATTTTATATAACTTTATCGTAAGGTTATAAAGTAGCATTTTAGGGAGGGTAAAGTAATATATTTAACACTTTAATAACAACATATTACTAATTCTAATGTTAATTAAAAAAAATTTTTACTGACTGATGGTGAGTTCGGAATAATTATAAAATGTATATAGTCCCTTGCTTTATTTATGATATACTATTATTATTATTATTATTATTATTATTACTATTAGATATATTATTACTGATTTTAATAAGCTTTAAAAAAAAATGGCTCTGAATAAGGTTCCAATTTTTAATTAAAATAATTTGAAGTTTTTATTTTTTCGCCAGTAACAGTTTTGATTCGATTCTTAAAGCTTCTTTTTGAAAAGATTCCAACCGCTGCATAAAAATAATGATAGCATAGTTTTTACTAATATTTATTCTTTTTGGTATTATTAATAACTACCTATATATTCATTTAAAGAGAGTAGTAAAAGTTAAAGTTCATTTAAAGTGTATGGTTTATTAAATCATTTTATAAGCTATAACAACTAAATTAAAATTACTTGTATTTAAAAATGATCTTGATTTCTTTTAGTTGCATATATTTCTTGATTTATCAGCTAATAATGACTTTTTACAATCATCTCTTAAAATTAAATGGGTGTCAACTTTATTTGCTTAAATAGCAACATACATATTTAATTAGCATATAAAATATAAAATAATTCAATTAAGAAAACAACTTGTTGATATTAACTTTTGGACTAGTATTTCAGAAGTTATTTTCATTTTAGCTTCGATGCGAAGCTGAGAAGGTATTAATTTTATCATGATGTGTTTATTTTTTTTATTTTTTTTTTTTTGTGTCTGTCACTACTTTTTCTCAGCTCTCACTGGACCGATTTCTTTTAACAATACGTCAAAAGATCACAAATTGTATCTAGTTGAAGACATTACCCTTAAAAATTTAAAAATTTTCCCTCGTTCCCCGCAAATGGGGGAAATATCCAAAAAAATTACAAATTTAAAAAT